AGCCCCAGTGATAGTTTTTAATCTACCTGAAGGAATGGGGCTTTGGGGGTGCAGGGTGCTTTGATACAGCTTAGGACAGCTCTGCATGGTCAGGGAAGGAAGGGGGTCTTGTGGACTATAATAGCACAAGGAGGTAAACTTTGAACCCATTCTTAGGGGGTAGGGAGAATTTGGGAGGGCAGGCAGGAGGAAGAAAAGCATGAATTCAGCTCCAAATTAATGACAAGGAAGGTCAAAGAGGCCCTCCTGACTGAAGCGGCCAGTTGGTGTGGAGAGGTGGGGCAGGTAAATTGGAAAAAAATGAGGAAGATGTTTATTATTGCCAGCTTCCTGTGCTGAGTCCTAAAATGGGTTTCAGAATGCTTCCTGCATGATACTTCATGGCCTACATAACAGCTGGGTATTTCTGTATCCAGAGCTTGCAAATTTCCTTTGACAACTGGAAATTCCAAGGAAAAATTCCAAAATGGTAACATAGGTTTAAAAAAATTACTAATTGATTAATGCATATGTTTAAGCTCATGCCAATTTACTTAGTGAAAAATAGAAATGAGTCTATATTTGTCTTTATTTGCTCCTCTAAGAACTCTCTGGAATCAGCATTATCCTCAATTTGCAGGAGAACTCAGGTTCACAGATTCGACAGCACACGACTCCACGTCTCTTGACTCCAAGTCAGGAAATCTTCTCCTCCTCCACACAGCAGCTCCCCATGCTTGATGATAGAGGCTCACCGAGCGCTGAGCCTGCAGACGACAGTGGCACTCACAGTTGCCCCAAGGCTTCAGATGGCATCATGGTGCCACCTATCACAGAATTGCTGGGGCTTCCCTTTAGATACCCAGAGCTGCCTCCTTTTCCAATAAGAGCACTTTCTCACTGTGTTTTTCTAAACACAGAGGAGACGGCTTCACCTCCAGGAGCTCGTACTTGATAGCACACGCCTACAAACACTTTGTCCATCTCCTACACATGGATGATGAGGATTTTATTTATGTAACTAAAACAATTATTTGTACTCTCTCAACTGCTCCTTGGCTTAATGGGTGGAATGCTTACACAGATCTGTGGTCACAAAGAAACTTACAAGTAAAGGCCACCATAAAGACAAAACTGTTCCTTCATTTTCTGGCTCAAATTATGGCCAGAGAAATAAAGCAGTAACTTTTAACCTAGAAAACCCAAAGGGAAGTGTGGTGTGGGTATGGGAAGAAAGCAGTGAGTATGAATATACCTAATATGACCACAGTATCATTTGCTATGTAGGTCTTAATTATGCCCTTGTCCCCTCATCCTCTGATTCCTTAAATTCCAAACAACCCCAGAGAAATCTTTCTGGTTTTGCTTGGAAAGCAGCACTATGTTTCTGTGCCTGTGCATTCTAAAATGGGCCTGTCAAATTTGAAACCTAAATACGAACTGACAGAAATCAGCTACTAACAAATTAAGTTAAATTAATAAAGTAGATGCCTGAAATACAAAGAAATGCTTTTTTCCAGGAATCTCTCTTCCTAAATGTCAGACTTGAGAAGCTAAAGCAAACCTCAGTCTCCACACTAAGCCTTTTCCTTTGCTTTGTCATGTTTCCTAGAGATCCCTGGATGGGAACCCTCTTCAGAATTTATTTTGCCTCCTAGTGGCAACCTCCAAACTCCCACCTACTAACTTTACAGGCATATTGATGACATAATAGATTGAAAAAATGCTGGACCAAGAATCCTATTTTAAATCCTATCTCTATGACCAAAAAACTATGTACCCCTTTGAGCTTAATTGTTCAGTTTTATGACAATAAGTAATTTGAGTATTTGCAATAAATGGCATTCAGATTTTTGTCCCATGTAGGTTTTGTCTTAAGATGATATTTAAAACTATTTTTATAAAGGCAAATATTTTAGATTCTTTACATTTGTAAACCCAGCTTGTGGAATGAAAGAATATATAATTGTAAAATCTCCATATCTAGATTCCTTCCCTTCCATTTTCTTATTCCCATCCTCATTCAGGCCCTTCCAGCTTTGTGCCTGGTGTGTTGGCTCTTTTCCCTTCCCATCTACCAACTTTTTTTTTATACAAGAGCTGGGGTACAGGCCATAGGCATGGGAGGGTGAGGGAATTCATCAGAGACAAAGTGGGAAACAGAACAGGCAGATGGACTGAAAACACTGCCGAAGGGAGCAGCGAGCGAGACAGGAGAGGTCTGCCGCGCCATGTGTGTATCTCCCTGGCTGGCTGGGAATCGAACCCGTGCTGCAGAGGCTGTGGACAGCTTCACAGGGCTGTGCTCAAGCTGCTGCACCAGGGGTAGCCCCCTCATCCTCCAACTTTTTTTCCAGCTTTCAGACTTCAGCAGAAAGCATGGTCACCACAGCACCAGTGCCTGGAAGAACTGATGTAGCTACAAAACTTACCCCCCTCAAAAAAAAAAAAAAATAGTTATAGTGTGGTTGTGGAGTTTATATCCTCTGCTTACAATCATGCAGTTGTGGTCGTTCTATGGGGAAAAAAATTATTTGACTATGGAGAGCTAATATATCGGGGGGTGGTATTATTGGCTAATATGTACCCCTCTCCCTTCTTCACAATCTTCTTGTCCCTTCTCCTTCCTTATACTTGACTCTTCATTCAGAATGTTTAGTTTTGTCAAATAGAAAGATCTCTGCAAATACCAAAGGATGGTCTGGAAATTCCTTATATTCCTCATTTTAGAAGTTATCTCTGCTGATAGGAAAACATACTTCAATTGTGTTTTGAGTTTGATAAGCTGAATGTGCGAAACCAATGCCTATTATAACAGGACCAAAATAATGTTGAGTCCTATCTTCTTGCCGCCTGCTCTGAATATTCTCTTCTGTAGGGAAGACAGAAATGGTGTCAGTTTTAGGGAGGCAGTAGTCCTAGTGAACTTAGAAATTAGCAAATTTTAATCCCTGCCTTTTGAATATGGTGAAATTGATCACCAAATGAAATCATCCTGGGAAGTCAGTTCTAGTGAAATTTTATTAGACCTTTATACCTGTTTGGAAATTGTTATGGAGGCATTCCTGGGACATCATAAAGATTTAAATCATAATGTCAGTGCTTATTTTTTTTTTTACTAAATAAGCCTGAACATTGAGGAGATTTAGCAATGATACTATGTCTCACTATTAAGATTCCTTTAGAAACAGTGACATTAATACCTAAACTGGGTGACCACTACAGATGAGTAAGTTGTATGGACATCATTCTCTTATTAGCTCATTTGAGATAAACTAAAAACTAACATGGAATTGTTTGCCTCTGAGAGAAAACACCTAACAGTTGAAGAATGAGTGAGTAAATAATAAAGTCTACCACAATCTGTCACCTTTCATGAAGTTTCAGCTCTAGCTTAGTACAGGAAATGCCTGGCTGTTCCCAGTCACAGCAGCAATGGTGTAGAATGGCAGTGAATCAAACACAAACCCAGAAATGTCCCTTGAGCTGAGGTTTCTATTTTCTTCTCCCTTTATACCAGAACTGTCCAGATTTCAGTTAAGTGAAGGTTGGTTGATGTAAACCTTGCTTTTCCTCTGACAGGAGGTGAGAATAAGCAATGCATTGGGCGCAAGGCCAAAAGCAGAGTTGAGGAGACATGATTCATTGCCGGGCTCATCACCCACCTCAGAATAAATAAGAGCTGACTAAAGTGGTGCCGTGCCGGCAGTACCATAGAGCCTGGGGAGGATCCAACAAGAGAAATAATGAAGAAAAAAAGACTTGTGTTGGGGGAGTATGTGTTGGTAGGGCTGGAGATCTGACTCTCAGTCTTAAGTTCACCACTGCGTCTTGTGAGCTTTCCTGATATTTTCATGATTTTTTCCCCTTTCTTAAAAAACAACCCCTATTACCTGCTTGGTTGCTAAGGATCAGTATTAGCAGGGTATTAGGTGACTAGTTCCTTGGGCCTTTTGGATCTAAGAAGGTGGAAACATCCATGAAGAGGGAAATAATTTATTTTGGGGTCTCAAAAATCACACTTTAACCATCTCTGTGCGGTAGAGTGATTTATCAACCTAAGGCCCTGCCAGGTCCAGACTCTGGATCTCTGACCTTTGCACCCATCTTCCCGATCTTCCTGGTGTCCCACCTCCACATATATTTTCAGTTATCATCAGCCTCACCAAGTCAACAAATCATAAGTCATTACTCTGATTAATTGCATGAGTAGATCTTAGAAATGGCATAAATCTAGATAAGAAAAAAATAGGAGACTGAGATTTAAATGGTTCTTTAAATTCTTTTCAGGAAAAGCTAGGTATCAGGAATAGAGGGTGGTTATTGTGGGATTATCATCCTTTATACTAAACATCAGACTTTGCTTTCTTTCTACTGGGTACCTTCTCTACAAAGGGCCCTCTCCCAAGAGTTGTAGGAAATAAAACAATAAATAGTCCATGTTTATGGACTGATGAAGGCAATAGATATATGGCACATAGAACTGAGAGGCAGTTACACATATAATCTCCTTCAAATATGTGCATTAAGATCCTCTTACCAATATGTGATTCTCTCCTACCACCAAGCCTTAACAGATGCCTTTCTCCATAACTAGAAGCTCTTCCTGCTTTCCAACATCCAACCAAGCCTCAATATTTTGTGACTTCATCTTTTCCTAAATAAGTTTTCCCCAAATTCATCTGCACCATTTGCTCTAACACCCCTCCCCCTTGATGTGTGTATTACATATATTCCATGCATCTATGCTGTCTGCTCCAACTGGTAGCATTTAGATCGAGGAATCAGCAAGCTGCATCAGCAATCAACAACCTCTGTATTTAGAATTGCTACTAGAATCACACCAACTAAAGTGGCAGGAGAGCTTGGGCTCCTGAGTTCTCACAATGGCTGTTCTTTCCCTGTTGTTAAAACAGGGTTCAGACTGTCCCCTGAGGTTCCTTCCTGCTTGACCAATTCAGAATGCCAAAAAAGGAGTCAACTGACCTGACCAGGTCTACATTTCTTTTCTGTTGCTCCAGGATTCTTCTACAGCCAGATGATTCCTTACAGATCCTGGCACCAGTGGAAGCTGATGTGGGTTTCTACACTTGTAATGCCACAAATGCCTTGGGATATGACTCTGTCTCCATTGCCGTCACTTTAGCAGGTAACATGAAAACCCTGGTTCAGTTCAATTAAGAAAATGTTAGTGAGTGGGTGCCTTCAATGTGCAAAGCAGGCCCAGGGATGCATAGATAGAAAAGACCCACACCCTGCCTCCAGGAAGCTCATATTAAGGCAGCTAATTAAATGGAGGTGATGTGTGATATGAGGTTGACTGAAATAAATGCTGTGTCTTAAGTGCTATAACATAAGTCAAAGGGTGTACAAGATATTTCATTCAATTTGACAGGTCTTGGAGTTAGGATGAGTAGAATTTGGATAAGCAGATGTAGAGGAAAGGCCAACAAATGACATGACAAAAGAGATGTGTGTAAGAAGTAGCATGTAGGGAGCTTGAATTCTGTGACCAGAGATCACTAAAAGCTCCTGTCATTTCTCCTTGTTCCACCTGTTGCCCAGAAGACTGGGACCCATGGGTATTTGGAAGTCTGTGGTCACACTTTGGAGCAGGAGTAATCTCGCTGATTCTGTTTTATTTCAACCTCTTACTTTAATTCACCTGCCAGCACTTTGCCTTTATCCATGGAGGTTAGGCAAAAATATCCTGCACACCATGACCTCAGAATGTCTCCCAAGGCTGTGGTCTTGGAATGACGTACTTTAAAAAAAAAAAAAAAAAAAACCTCTCTTACATAGGCCACATCCTAGCCTTTGAAACCAAAGGAGACCTTGGATACCAGCTGGATCAGAGCCCTCAATTCTGAGGCCAGCCCACCTGAGGTTATACCGCTGCTCAGCTAGCAGGGGAAAGAACAGAACTGAGATCTCATAACTCCCAGCTCATTGTTTCCTTCATATCCCTACTGACCCACCAAAATCGGGTCCTTTTCCCTCAGATCTGGGCCACGCAGTCTTTGTGGCGGTACATTGCATGTGTTTGTATTTATTCTTTTCAGTTGCTGCTTCCATCAGATGATTCAGTAGATGCTGGAAAAGCCAACATCACCCCACACTGACCTCATCGGTCCAGGCTGGGATTATGTTGTCACACTGTTCTCCAGTCACACATGCTACTCCCTTGCATATCTGTTTAGCAACAGTCTTTCTGCCCCCATGACCTCAGGCTGATCTGGGAAGGGACCTTTAGTAGGAGGCTTTGTAGGGAAGATGAAAGTCAACAATGAATAAGGCAAGCTAAGGGGCCCTGGGGTGGATTAGAGACTGATATTATTAATGCCTTTGTGTGTGTGAATAGAACGTTTGCTTTTCTCCTAATGTATTCCAGTCACAATCTTTATTCCCCCCTTTATGCAGAGTCCAGATGCTCAGCACCAATCTTGTTAAATCTCCTGCCTTCCACCCTCTGCCCTGCCATAACATGGGTGCTGCTGACGCCCTTCCAATTGCTGGCTAATGATGGCTCTTGGGGGATTATCTCTCTTATTTATATTTATCCAGATATGGTTTAACTCTGTCACAGATTAAATACCCTTTTTTCACCTGAATTTAATGCAATTAATAGAAACCTGTCTGGAATTAAGCAAGGCAATTGTAACATCAGGTTTGTCTTCAGCTCTTTGAAAAGGAGCTATTGGTGGCTGCCAACAGGTTCAAAGCCAGGGAAGGGAGACAGAGCAGCCAGTGGGGCACCTGGGAAAGGGAGGGAGGGGGCTGACCAGTTAAGTAAGATCACAAACACCATACCCAGGGCTTAGGGAACAACGTCTTTGTATTTAAGTGCCTGGGTTTGTTACGGTCTGCCGGCAAATCTATCAAACAGTCCCTCTAAAAGTTAAGACTCCAAATGTGAATGTTGTTAAGATTGTATTTCTGTCTTCACCTGGGATTATCATCTACCTCTGTGCCAAGGCCAAACTCAGGATTAAGAGGCTCACCAGCTACTGTTCTGAACACACCCTCTGCCAAGTATTGTTGACATGTAGCAGTCAATAAGATGTGAGTTTTGTGCTCCATGATCCATACAGACTATCAAAGGCAATAGATGTGTACAGTGCTACCTAGAATTGAGGTTGTCACCAAAAAAAAATTTTTTCAAATATATGCTTCGAGACCTTGTGTAGTGGCATATAAGATACTACTGAAATGCAACCTAAATTGGGGGGAATGGATATCAATCATTTCTAAATTGGATTACAAGAAAATAATTATACTGCTTATTTTCTATGTGATGTTAGACAAACTTATTGAGTCTTTGTCCTCTTCTGTAAAAATGAAATTAATATTTTACAAGATTGTTGTGATATTAAATAAGATTGCACATGTAGGAAAACACTTAGTTCAATGCCAGGTACATAGTTTACACTCAATTCACCCTCTCAGCTTTTCTAAAATGAAACCCATCCTGAAAATCATTCTAAAATTATAAAATATTAGTGCAAATTTGCTTCCGTATATTTTTTTACTATATGTCTTCACTCTGAAATTTTTCAAGGCTAGATTTAGGTGCTGATTCACTTGCAATGAAATCTTAGTGCCTCTGTCCTTTCAAAGTCATTGCAACGCTTATACCTTGACTTCAATATGAATGTAGGCCAAGGAGGGAAAGAAATTCTTTGAAGCTCAAGATATTTCACCATCCCCATGATTTTATAAGAAAAGTATCAACTTTGATCTTACCAAGTCCCATGAGTTGATCACATACAGGAAAATTTGTGCATAATAATTCATGAAAACAGACATGGTAAGCCTGCTGAGTGCCTCATGGTCTGGGTGTGAATCCTGCTTTTTCACTTCTTAGCTCTATACTCTCTGCCTTTATACTTTCATACTCAATTTCTTCATTTGTAAAAGGGTGATAATAATAGTGCTTGACTAAGGGGGTTCTTATTGAGATTAAATGCATTCATTCATATAAAATGCCTATAATTGTGCCTTGAATATAACAAGCATTCAATATTTATTAGCTATTATTGTTATTATTTATGAGGATAATGTATAAAACAAAAGCCACATTATTTTTACATTAGGAATGATTCCTTTTCAGAAATCAGAGTGCTCACAAACACTTTGCAGAACTCCTCTCTCTCCATACCTCAATGTCAACACAGAAAGCTGAATCATTCATCTGGAAAGTGGTTGCAGCATCTGGATTTAGTGCAAAGGCAGTGACTTGTGATGAGGGACACATAACATGGCCCTGGCCCACAGCTAAACCTCCAACAGTGAGCTACCCTAACTTCTGGGCTCAGTGTGTCTCCAATACTGCCTCTCAGATTCATTTTAGGTCCAGTGCACCTCTCTATACAATTTTTTTTTTAACATGAGAGCACCATTTCATTTTAGACATACTAATACACCAAATATTCCTTGCTCTGTCCTCTTTGGGGGCCTGTAAAAGATGATATTTAGCACCTTTTGCATCTCTCCAAACTCATCCATTATGCATTGATTTTATCTCTTACATCTTAACAACTTGAGAGTGTGCCTTACAAACATCTCTCACCATGGAGATGGCCATTGTTTTCCTGTCTACCTCCCTCATTCAGCCCAGGAAGCTCACAACCATGTAGACTCAGTGGCAAAAAATCCCCTTGCCTTAAATTTGCAATTAAGGCTTTTTCATTGTTCAGAGTGCAGATGAGAGTAGCATCTAGTAGAGAAGGAAATGGGGGCCAGGAATGTGACCAGATGTCACCTACTAACATTTTGAAGAACTGATTCCTTTGTATCCAGGAATTAGCAGGCGTGGGTAAGAAGAGTTTCTGGTGCGCACACAAAGTGACACACCATCAGGACCAGTTAGGCAGCGCTCGACCACGCTGCTCAGTAATCTTCCAGATCTAACTGGTATAGGCAGGGTTTTGAAGGAAAGCAGTAGTTTCCTAGAAAATTGCTTCAGTCTGGATCAGTGGGGTTTAGCTTTACTTACCAATGTAGATGAGGCCTGTCCAGGTGTAGACCATTGATGAGGTCATAGCCATAAGGGAAACGTTTTTGGTTGTCATTGATTTTATAAGATTACAAAGAGATACTGTAAGACCTGCCTGACATCATCAATAGAAAATGAGAAGAAGATGAGGGCTGAGGGATGAGCATATCTTTCATTGAAAGGAGAGAACACAGATGAGCTCATTTGAAGTTTTCACAGGAAGGGAGAGACAGAAAATATTTCTTCTTTCCTGGCATATTTTTCTGCTTTTTTATGAGTTGAATAGCTGACACATATTGTGTCTAATAAAGAGATCACAGAAACCTCACCAGGAAAATAAAAATAAAAAGCAGTTTTGTTTTTTTTTTTAAATTCTTCTTTCTCTACCCCCTGTCATGATTTAGTAGCTGCAATAAAAGACAAGCAGTTTGTAAGCTTTTCATAACATAAGTCAGTTCAAATTGGCATTTCTGAATTTTTCATCCAACTATTCTGTTAACCAGAAGAGGGTATTGCTTCATAGAGAATTAGCCTCAGAGAGCGCCTTGTCACGGGTGGGAAACACTGGCAATGGGAAGTTTGCTCCAATGTACTAAATCAGAGGGAAAGGCAAACAGACAATTTTGGCTTTGTTCCTGATGGTGCTCTGAACAGCAGGGTGTAATGGCCATTGAATCAGGCTGCCATCAAAGCGCCTCATTGTCTGATAGGACACTGAGTAACCAAGGCCCTGAAGTTTTCCTCAGAAAGTATGCATGTGCAGCATGCCCATTAAAGGCCGCTAGCATTTATAGAACTTAGAAAAATGGGTGCGTATAGAAGAATCTAGCTTACTCCGCTGACCAGTAGACTAGAGAAAACGTACAAGTACAAATGATCCAAACTAGCCCAACTCAAATCCTGGAAACCCTGTCCCACATGTATGCAATGGAATGATACATGGTTGGACAGGGAGGGAGAGATACCACAGTCATTTCTAGGAGAGACTGTAGCTTCGCATGGCTATGCTAGGTTTGGGGTCCCTCATTTAGGAGTTTGCAGGGAAACATGCAAAGAAGGTTTGGCAGTACCACTTGCTGTCTCCTGAAGAATCACTGACTTTAATTGAATAATTAGGAGAGGTCATGGCAGTAGCTGAGTAACTTAACACAGTG